CCGGTGATTGATGCACCCACGAGCGACATCAGCGTGGCCGACCCTCCGGAGGTTCTCGCCGCACACGCAACGGCCGCGGCGTTGGACGAGGCTTCAAGGCTCGCCGTCGAAGCCGCAGCTGCCCGTCAACAAGTCGAGGAGGACAAGGCAGCAGCCCTCGAGTGCAAGGCGGAGTATGAACGACTAAAAGCACTCGCCGGACCTTTCTTCTCCATGCGACGTGCACGCAACCCGGAACACGCAACGGGGGACGACTTAGTGGACTCATTGGAGGACGCGCATCCGAAAGCCCGCGATGCAATGGCTGCTGGCGCCGCCTGGGAGGAGGACCCCGGATAACCGGTTGATATGTCTTTGATTATTTTGGAACAGTTCCTATAGCCCAATGCATTGGTTGCACAGAGTACGGTTGTATTTTTTTATGAAGTGATGGACTGGGTGCGTTTTTCATGCCTGGTCGATCGGGTTATCCCGTCTCGACATGTTATTCGTTCGGTGCGGTGTGACCCTCAGCAAACCGGCCCATGCATGTTGGCATGTTTGCGTTCTCGGTGCATGAATCAACAGTGTTTTATCACCCAGTTAAGCTGGCACAAGGCCGCGCTGCAATGATAAAAAATCTTTCTTCGGGGCAGCACGGTCGGTGTTTCCGTCTAAAAAGTAGGTAGATTCTCTTGCAGACCCCAACATGCCGGTAACATGGCTGTTTGTGATTCTTTCTCTAACCAACGACACCGTTACAGTGCAATAAAGCTTCGCATGGAGTTTCGTCGACATCTTCCATAAACTGGCCTAATACGGTCGAAAAATGGTCGATTTATGACTTGCCGTCGGTGGGCCAAACTGCGTTGGAGATAGCCCCCTTTTGCGGGACCCCAAAAATCTGTCCCAATATGTTTTTTTTTTTTTCTTGATTCTACCTTACCTACATATTCCAAAGACCGTGTCTATGAGTTTTCATGAACTAATTCGATAAACTGATGAAATGGGGTCTTTTGGGCGGCAAAAGAACCTGATTTTCGCCGTTTCATACTTTAATCAAGTAGTTTGGGGGAAATCCAGGATGCGAAATACTTCATGGCATAAGAGCTGAAAACTTCACGCCGTTTTTATGAGTTAGACTCTGAAACTTTGCACACATGTACCTTGGGTCAATACAAAACGCTGTGTGGCGGGGCCCTTTTCATTTCCTTCCATGGTCGCCAGTTATTCGGGGTCCCAGGAGCCGCACACGACCCCGAAATCTCTAGGACCCCGGATATCCGGCGACAGGGGAAAAAAAAAAGGCCCCTCCACACAGCGTTTTGTAATGACCCAAGGTACATGTGTGCAAAGTTTCAGAGTCTAACTCCTAAAAACGGCGTGAAGTTTTGCTGTTGAATCTTCTTGTATCCATTTCCCTGAACCAGCTTGTAAGGTTACCGAGAATAGCTTGGGAGGCGAAGTGGGCAAACAAGAAGAGGGGTGGACAACCCACGGAATGGGTCAAGGTTGTAGAGGACGTATGGGAGGGGTTCGGAATTGACGAAGGCGATACCCTGGATACGGAGGGTATACAAGGGTTCAAGTACGATATATATTTTGCTTTTGCCGAGAGAGAAGAACACAATCTAAGGAAAGAATCCAAGGATGAGGAGGGCCTAGAAGTGCACGGAATGTTGAAGGAAGGAATAGGCTTCAAGGATTACCAAATTGGACCAATGGATGCAGGAACAAAGCTTAAGGTCAAATTCAGGATCGGGGACATTGGCCACCAAGAACGTGCACGATGATATGTGAGGGTAGACGATGAAGACGCAAGTTCAAATGTGATTGCGGCTCACAGTGCCAAGACCGGGTTCATGTAGTCGAGGAATGTCGGCTGTACAAGAGGGAGAGGGAAGCGCACATGACTGGGCTGGAACAAGTAGAAACAAAGTACAGGGAGATGTTTGAGTTTGAGGCATGGGATAGCCAGGATAATACGTTTGTTGTACTGGGGCATACGAAGTGGGTTGAAAGGCGGGAAGTAATATCGGTAGGGTAGATAACTAGGGAAGACATTTTCGAGCCACCATTGGCGAAGTAGGAAGGAACGATTGGCCATCTGTGATCGGTCCTGTGGGAACAACGCTCCGTCCTCTCGAGGGCGCGTGGTCAATGGTCTAACTGCTAAGGTAGGCAGAACATAATAACAAGAGTATGCCCTCGCCAACGTCCACACAGACCAGCAGACCTAGTCTGGCAGACAGCCCTTGCTGTCGAAGCACGCTACAAACACACCTTGGGGTAAATGTGGTCGTGCATGGATCGCATGACGGACGTCACGAACACCGGGCAGACATCCTTCCGATCCTTGAAAAACTTGATCCTCGCGATCTATCAGCAGCAGCAGCAGCAGCAGCAGCAGCAGCAGCAGCAGCGGTGGTGGTCGCGGCGGCGGCGGCGGCGGCGGCGGCGACAAAAGCACGGGAAATTGGAAAACAAACCAAACCGCACAAAACCAGGTCAGCGTGCGGGGTTTGCCCAAGCCGTACAGTACACACAAAACACCGAAGTTGGTCGACAACCAACAAGGAGAGGATGAGAGTGGTCATCCGTCCCCGCCGCTCCTCGTGCTCAGGGTGACACCAAATGTGTGTGTGGCTCCAGGCCTCGACTTGAGGCTGAGACGCGGCGCAAGGACATGTCACGATGCCGACTCTCCGGCCGTTGTGCCCATCGCCTGGCCTGCATCACATCTCGAACCCTCAAGCGATAACTCCATCGTGCGACATGGGGCCAACACTAAGCTTGACACTAAACAGTATCGGCAACACCCCCGAAACGTTCGTCTTGTGTCAATGGTGGTGCTACTGGCGGTAGCGTCCCCGTTGGGCCACCAAAGCAACGGAACTGTAAGGCCAACACTCAAAACTGCTGCTGCTGCTGCTGCTGTACAAAGCCCCGGATAGCCCGCACGAGGCAAACACGTGTCACAACCAACCAAATACAGGCCCGCAAATAACAACGGAAAGGCCGCTGCAGTCCACAACCAACAGCAGCACCACAACTTGTCCGCACCCCCTATAAAGTACAGAGCACACGTACACGCGAGTCCCGGACTTGCATAAACCGTAGCCGGCGGCTTTGCCAGCGAGGCCGAAAAATAAGGCAAACTGCAAGGAGGAGCCGTCGCGCCCTGTGTTTCGCGACCAAGAATTGGCAGAGAATAAATCTGTGTGTCAAGCCACGTGTACATAACACCTCGCATTCACGGTCGCCCCCCTCCCCCAAGCTACCTGTCGTCGGTAGATGCACAGAAGCGTGGAGGTGCGAACGCTCGAGGGCAGCAGCTCGAGAGTGTTCTGAGCCTTCTTTTCCAGCATCTGATGCGTCTCCCCGGAGATGTTTAGCGTGCGCATGATCTGCGGACGAGTTTTGTCAACACGGCGTCCGCACAAAAGCACGGCACGGGCAAAAAGGGGGGGGGGGACGTTGCTATTTGTTCACACGACACTGCTTGGGACGCGCTTGCGGCGTGAAACAAACGCAGGCAAAAAAACCCACCCAAAAAAACAAAATAAAGCGGCTCAAAACTCAGGGATAGCAGAACTACGAGGACAGCAAAAACCTAGAAAGTTGCACCCTTATCGAAGCTGGCCGGAACTGTTGCTCCTGGTTTTACAACCTCACTGCTGCCTTTTCCTTTTCTTGCCGCACTTTTTTGGCGAGCAAAAGTCAAGCAGACGAGGCAGGGGACGGCATCAGAATACCACCAACACATCCAGGTTGGCAAGTGGGCGGATTGGTCGCATACGAGAAAGCCGCCCAACCCTTTAAAAAGTGCACCCCTGTACAATAATTCATTACCATCGTGCGCCGCAAAAAAAATGGTCCATATCAGGCTTTTACTTACCTCGGAGGCCAAGTACTGCGGGAGCGAGTGCATGCGGATGAACGCCTCCGCATGCCGTTCTATGCGCCTCGACTGCGAATGCCTGGCGACCACGGTGGTGATGATGTGGCTCACGGCACCGATCGCGAGGGCATACATCGTGGCCCCCGTCAACATCACCTGAGCAAAAAAAGAAAAGAGCCGTCCACATGGCGGCGAGGAGCGCGGCGACACGAACAGGCGGGGGGGCGGGGGGGGCAAGACGACACGATGCGTGCTTGTGAGAGAGAATATCAACGGTGCTGTGGCAACACACCGTTCAGGCAGGTACAGGGGCGGGGGGTTCCGCAACAGCAAAACATGCACTGTGAGCGGCGTGTCCCCAGACCTGGTCGGCTCTTCACCCATGAATCGGCCCAGCACGACACTGCGAGGACACGCCCTATGAATAGGATCGCGACGTGGTCACGTGTTCGGTTTTGCGTCCGACGCGTCAGAAGTCACCGAGGAGACAAGCGCTCATCTCCTCGAATTGACTGGACCTGGGGTCCGACGGACTGTTCACAAGATACCACACCCTCTGGACCGGTTTTCAAAGCTCGACTGCTCCACCAAGAAAAAGAACGCCAACCTTAACTGTTTTCGGAAATATCTCAACGAGACGGTTCCAACGCCGACATTTTCGGGCAACACCATTCTTCATGCTATGGAGTGATCGAGCGTTGAAAATCCGTCCAGGGGGTGTGATATCTTGGGTCACCTCCGGCACTCCCGTGAACGGGCGAGAAATCTACCCCCCTCCCTTTTAAGTGAGCACAGGATGCCGAACACCCTTTGCAGGATGCAGCGCACCCTTCATGCGACTCGCCGAATACCTCACGGTGCTTTGCGCTTGGGTGATGTGAGAGCCTGGTCCGGTGAGAACCCGGCGTGCTCCGTCCCGGCTTTGTAGGGATGCGAGGCCAAAGGCCTAACGACTACGGCAGGCACGACTTTGAGTATCCCCCCGCCCCGCACTGTTCCGCTGTAGCTCGCCCCCACCATAAGGCCGGCCAAAGAAAACGGGGGAACCACCTAGAACCCTGGTCGCAGCAGCACTCCATGAACAACTCACGAGGATGCAGTATGTCCTCTCGGCGATCGTGCTCGCGAAGATGTCGCCATAGCCGACAGTGGACAGCGTGGTGACGGTCCAGTACACCGAGGTCACGTAGAGCGTGGAGGCTGGCGCGTCTTCCAGACCGTCTTTCACGATCCTGATGGGACAAAGGAGAAGGAGTCCAACACGACATCAAGAGTAGAATCTTGCAGAAGTTTGCCGTCTATGGATTCCTCTCGGCTCTCGGGGCATCTACGTCGCTATCGACGTGTCCGTCTTCTGGAAGATGCCTCTCCCCTTGTTCTTGATGTCCGTTTCGCATGGCAATCCTCTCTCATTCCCAAACCATATGCCCATGCCAAATTCTGGAATGTCTCCCCATGATGTTTCCTATTCTCACGCTGCGTAATAGCATCTCACCATGACAGGTCAGCGTCCTCCATGTCCGCCAGGAGGTGCCAGCCGCACGCCACCCAGTGCATCACCAGAAGGATGTAGAGGACAACCTTGGCGGCGATTGGACAAGGGAAAAGCTCCTGCATAGTATGAGTCTTGCGGGATACTGCAACGAGTCCTTTTGGTTGTCATTTTTTTTTATTCATCCATCCATTCCACACAGGCGCCAGTATACACCCTCAAGTTTCAGCTAAGCTTAAGATTCAGCCGTGGGCGCATAGGCCAGAACATGCGGCGCACGCAAATGTGTTATCCTACCTTTACCAAGTTGTACATGGCGAGAAGAATGTTCTTTCGGTTGGTCTTCTCCGCCTCCTCGCTGAGCATCTTGATAGACCGAATCAACCTCAGGGTCTGGGGCATCCTGGCCAGCCTCGTCACCTTGTTGGAGATACTGAATGTGTGCACGCCCAGCATCTGTTCGAATGGGCAAAACGGCCATCAAGGGGGCGCGATCGACCGACGTGGGTGACGAAACGTGTGAGTCCGTCAGCGACGGTCTCCTTCCGACGGGGTATGTACGGGGTCGACTTGACACTATGAAAAATAGCCCAGTAGGGGGCGGCAAAACACAAATGGAAGAGTCAGATCTAGTCGTGGGCAAGTACGTGCGCTTCAAGCAGCAGACACACGCCTCATAAAACGAACACCTCAAGGCACAGGAAGCCATACGCGGCCATGTCCGATCTTGTTCTACGCACTCAAGACACAGACAACAAAAACACACCAAAATAGCCTACCATTGGGGGCTCTCCCGAACACAGACCCAACACGCCGGCGGTGAACTCGAACTCACGATGGTCAGCGGGACAGAGGCGATAAGGTCGAACACGAGCAGCCCGCGGGAGTAGTTCCGCGCGATCGCGATGGGCTCGTAGACCATCCTGTTGGCGTACTCGTCGTGGTACGCAGTCAGGAACCGCGCCGCGAGGTCTACCAGGAAGCACACGTCCACCACGAAGTTGAAGGCGTGCCAGTCCTCCTGCCAGTCGGTAGGGGCAGAAAATTAGGGATTGGGGCGGGGGGGGGTGCGCAACCGGATCACTTCTGCAACACACTTGCCGCAGGACCACGCAGACCACGCAACGATGTGACCTAAACTGCGCATGCGCTCCACACCAGTCTACTGTCTGTGTAGCACAAATGCATGCACCTTCACAATAGAGCGGTTATGGAGTACGTACGACTGCCCAAGGTGAGTGGAGGTCCGATCAACAACACACCCGCAGCTTCGCCAACCAGATCGGTCGTCGTGAGCACCTCGAGTTTCAACTGCAGTCCACGTGTTGCGCGCCATATGTGCCTGCCTACCACGCACGTGTCGCGCTACTGTAGATGTGTGTCGCAACCGTGGCCACCGCAGCAGGACCAATGAACATAAATGTCGAAAAACACAAACAACTTCCGTACCAACTATCACGGCCAACAGATACCCCGCAGCGACGTTGGCTGCAAGCACAGCCTTACGGTTCTTGAGTCGACGCTTGAACCGAAGGACATAAAACGCGTTGTACATGGAAGATAATCTGCGAGCGCTTATGTGTGGGACATACATACATACCGCGTGCATGTTTTCGATGTGCTGGAACGAGACGAAGAGCGGTATCGCCACCACCACGTACATCGTCAAAAAGTCGCCTGGGAGGATGAGAAACAAGCAAAACGCATCACAGCGCCCATGTCAGCGACCGTAATCGTGTCAGCATTCCAACGATCGACGGCCTCGTAGGTTGATCCCCTGGTCCCTGCCGGTGAGCAGGTTGAGAAATGAAAATGTGATGGTGGTAGGACTGCCGGCCAGACTTTGCATATAAACCGGAAGCGAGCCAACAATCGGTTGTCATACATACAGCACTGTATGACGAAAAACTGGCACCTGTGTAAGCAACACAATCAGCTGTCGGCTAGCGTGTTACTGCCGCAGGCAAGAGATTTATGGCCCGGACGTTGCGGGAAGCCAAGCAAGCCATGTGCCCGCCGTGGACGGCAGGTGGATTGATTCATCGTCGAAATGCGGCGCGATTGGCTTTTGTTTCGCCGGCGATTCCTTCGTCCTCGCGCCAAACCCGCAAAGAATTAAACACCTCCCCTTCTACTACAGTGCCGGCCCGCACTTAAGAACCTCCAATATTGGGCACGGCTCAGTTCTTATTGGCTGCCCCAACCCGAGCACCAGTTCTTATTTCGTCGTCCATTCTTCTCCAGAAAGGGGCGTTCTTGTTCTTACAGTATTTAAACATCATTTGCTATATTGTCGGCTGCCAACCATGAGCAACACTAGTACTGCTGTCGATACAAGAAAATATCAAGGCATGGAGCAGCAACTGTCGACCTTCTTGGTCCACAAGGGTGACGTTGGTCCTGCGTACCCTTCCTGATCTACTAATGCTCTCAAGCAAAACCCAGGAGCCTACAGCCGCATCCGAATCTCCGCTGTACTTGTCTAAGGGCAACTTCATCTTGCGCGTACTCTGGTCTAGCTCCAGCTGCACACAGTAGTCGTACAGGTGGCGAGTGTCCTTCTGAGATTGTTGAGTGATCAGCCCTCCAAACCACCCCATGCCCAGCCTAACGAGCACTCCACGCCGCAAAAGCAATCTGTCAAGAGCAACGGGTTTAGCTTCTTGAATACGAAAGCCTGCCGGGATCTCCATTCCCTGTATCTCATCCTCCGGGTCTTGTGGGTCCATGCTGTCGTCGTCGTCCAGAAGAGCTAGCTCGTCGGTCTGGGGTTGAGAGATGTCTGCGAACGAGGCAACGGGAAACACAAGAAGTTAGGGTGTCACATCGCCAAACTCAACCTGAACTTATCATTATTTGAGTGTGGCCGTGCGCGGAAACAAGCTAACGTCAACATGAAGCACATCGTCATCAACAAAAAGACGAAGAGTTGGTTTAGTGCAAAACAAGCTTACCGCCGTCGTCTTCATCGCTGGAGTCAACGCCCTCAATGAGCGTCTCACGTCCTCCATCGCACTCCTCCGCCCGCCCCTCAGGCTCATCGTTGCCGTCCTCCGAACCTTGTTCGTCGTCGCTACTGTCTTCATCGATTGCGAAGGTATACGGCTTGTCCAACCCTCCAAGGTGATTCGATCATCATCGCCCGAGCCGTCCACGGTCATGGCCATCCCGCACTTTTCGAAAAGACGGTATCGGTACGCCTGTTGGCTGTTGAGTCTTGCCATGGCCGCTCCCATCCACAGAGTGATCAGGACGCGCCGATCAGAAACTGTCAGCGACGGGGTTTCCCACCTCTCGAGGTTGTCCGACTGCTCGAGCCATATGTCCATCTGCCTCCCGACTTCCACCTTGAGAAATCGTCCGGCTCCTGCATCAACTGGCTGCACCTCGTCCGTGCACTCCGAAGGGCCATACCAGGCGAGAGTGTTGCAGTACTTCGCAAGATACTCCTTGATCTCGTCCGTCGTCTGCGCGTGCGAGTTGACTATGATAAGAATGGACCTCGCCTTGGGGAGCTCACCCCGCCCGCGCATCAGGCCTTCGCGGTAGGACCTCTTCGCCCACTCCATGCAGAACTTTTGGTCGGCCCACGCGTTCTCCTGGAAAAACACGTCCACGTCCTCGTGATACGCTGCCTTCTCCACCGGCGAGATCCGCTTTCCCGTGCCTCGGAAAATCACCGAAATGCGCATGGTCTTCTCACCCGGACCAAAGATGACTTGCATCGTGCACTGCCTTTTCTCTAGGCCAGCAAAGGGCTGCGAGATTGCTACCCGCAACGCACCAAACTTGTCCCACGTTTCGAGCAGCCCGTTCACCAATGCCAAAGGCACTTGATCCACATTCCAACGCTCCCAGAGCTGGAATTGACCGTATTTGGGAACTCTAGACTCCCTCTCCGCGACCGTCGTAATCGCCGATACGTCCGACTCATCGGGCGCCCTGAACCGCACCGGCTCTTGCAGGAGCTTGCGAAAAAGCCGGAGGAAGCGCTGGATCTTTGGAATCCACTCTTCGACAGACTTGTTCTTGAGGTTGGTCCGGCGTCTTTTGGACAGGTTATGCCTCTTGGCCCATCTTCGCGCCCACCTGAAGGATGCACGGAAGGACGCCGCTCGTTGATCCCCGGGGTACATCTCTCGCACGAGCTTCCGGAACGTGATCGTCAGCCACAGGGTCGACACCTTCAGCTTTCTCTTCCGCCGCTCCACGAACCCCTTGTACAGTCGCTTCTCTGCCTCAGGAAACCACCGCTTAGGTTGCTGTTTGGCGAGGAGGCTCTTCTTCACGTCATCGGCTGCCGCCGCGACCAATTCCTTCTCGTTCTTGGCCCACTTCACTATATTGCCGTAGGGAATCTTGAGACGACCCTCCAAGAACTGAAGAGGCGTGCGCTGCTCCTCCTTCCAGCGGTCTTCGGCGTTGTCCTGGAGGATGCGCAGGTGGTTGACCGCGTGGGCTTTGAACCTGAAGTCGTATTGCCTGCGCGTGGGAACCCCACGAGTGTCCTTGGGTTTGCGGTCCACAAAGCCGTCGCTATCCAAGTCGAGATCGAGAAAGCGCTTCCGCTGGAGGACAAACGAAGCCGTCCCCGTCGCACGATCGAACTTCACGTGCCAACAACGCCCAGGCCCGGCTTCTTCCCACGGCAGGACACTCCCTCCCACATCCTTCAGTAACATGCGCCGCAGCCCCACGCCGTTGGACATGTTTGCACTGCTGTGCTGCGTTCTCACGTGGATCCCAAGGCCTTGCTCGTTCACGAAGGTCATGGGACAGTGAGGGCAAGATCGGCGGGACTCCGGGGTCGGAGGTGGGAAGTTTATACCGGACATGAGCTCTTTCACTCCACCGCGAGTCCGCTCAATCTGCATGGCAAGGTGGAAGCAGGCGGAGTTGCCGGGGGGGTGATTCAACGAGTACCGTCATGTATCGTTCGCTATGGAGTGTGGCGCTTTCGACCTCAAACCTCCGTGCAGAGCCGAAAGCTGTCTGTTTCGTTCGTGACTATTCAAACTAAGTATCAAGCAGAGAACGTGCACTGTTGTGACGCCAAAACAAAGTCGCCGGCATCCAAACTAGAATTATCTGTCTACACTATTTTCTTTTAATGTTCTGGTCTTGCTTGAAAAAAAGGGGGATGGACGAAAATTTTATCTTATCATGTCTACACAGCAGCAGCATTCCACGAATCTGAAAAAGACACAACTTTCCGGAGTACTTGCACCGGAGTTGGTTCTTGCCAGCAGACGAAGTTGACGAGAACTCGACACTCCTCCACTTGCTTGGGCACCTACAGCAAGAAACGGCGTGCGAAACGCAGTCGTTGCCAGCAGAGGCCAGCCCCAAAACTACAAACTTTCTCCTCTTTTTTTTTTATTACGCGCCGCTACTGAAAAAAAATGGTCCTCATCATGTCATCGTTTTCACGGGAGTTTTTCTTGAAAAACGAAAATAGTGTATGTAGACTACACCGGTAGCGAAAAGTAACTGTGTGCTCACCGGTCCTCGGCTGCCAATCGCGAACGCGTTGCAGATGTTGCCGCCTAAAGTGCCTTTGGCAGCTCTCTCCCTAGCTTGCTTCCCGCGATCCACGGCCTTTCTCCTCGCGGTACCTGCAGCAGCAGGTGGGTGCTGAGACGGCGGTGGAGCACCTCGCGCGCTGCCGGCATCTTGTTGGGATGAAGAGGACAGGCGGGTGCTGCTGGTAATACCCTGCGTTTCGCCGTCAATCTGCGTGACCCACTCTTCTTCGTCGAAGACACCGTTCTGCTTCAGCCCCCACGCGCTCTCGATGGCGTCCCATCGCTCCTTCGCAACGGAGTTGCCCGCCTTCACGTGTGCTTTGATTGTCTCGAAGTGACGTCAAGAATCAGATCCCTTTGTTTCAACTCTGCAAGTTTGCCAAGCTCTTTCAATATCCCATGGGATAAGGGATTGCACTGGGCCATGATCCCCCTGCACCAGGCAGCTCGTGGCACGCTGCACGTTGCGTGGCACGCACGCTTTTCTCNGTCAAGAATCAGATCCCTTTGTTTCAACTCTGCAAGTTTGCCAAGCTCTTTCAATATCCCATGGGATAAGGGATTGCACTGGGCCATGATCCCCCTGCACCAGGCAGCTCGTGGCACGCTGCACGTTGCGTGGCACGCACGCTTTTCTCGGGGGCACCCAGGGGCACGACGCGTGCGTACAATGCCCACCCTTCCGCTCTAAAAAATACAAATATTGATTTGTGGGGTATGTACCCCTCCCTAATCCATACTCTCTACTCTGGGATCACTCCCCCCTCTTCCCTCCCTCCCCCTGCGAGTATTCTTATCTGGCAGCCGCTGTATTGCTGTCGTTCTTATTTGTAGCAGCAGCAGTTTTGCACCTCAGGTGTGTGTTCTTGTTCCTAACAGGGCGTGCAGCTGAGCACGTGTTCTTATCGGTAAATTCTTGAATTTTGGATTTTTTGAGCATCAAATTCTTAAGTGCCATATTCTTAAGTGCNCGCTCTAAAAAATACAAATATTGATTTGTGGGGTATGTACCCCTCCCTAATCCATACTCTCTACTCTGGGATCACTCCCCCCTCTTCCCTCCCTCCCCCTGCGAGTATTCTTATCTGGCAGCCGCTGTATTGCTGTCGTTCTTATTTGTAGCAGCAGCAGTTTTGCACCTCAGGTGTGTGTTCTTGTTCCTAACAGGGCGTGCAGCTGAGCACGTGTTCTTATCGGTAAATTCTTGAATTTTGGATTTTTTGAGCATCAAATTCTTAAGTGCCATATTCTTAAGTGCGGGCCGGCACTGTACAGCAGTGGTATGCTACTATTTCGAAAGGGCAGGATACCTTTCCGACTGTAAGTACTAGAGTAACGGTGCCATACACTCAACTCGTACGGGAAAGGGCGGCCTTATACTGGGCCAGGTCGCAACGCTATTTCGCCATAACCTTCAAGGGTGCCCACTGTGTGCTGTGATCGTAGGCAACAGCGGCAGTGCCCAACCATGATTCGTACGTTGTACAGGCAGTTCGAACGACACAACGCAGCTGCTGCCGTTGCTTCCGTAGTACACAGAACTGCTTGTAAATTGTCCAAAATGCAAGTGTGGAGCTTATTAAAAGTAGCCTACCCACCTTGGACACTTGTCTGAATCCCACAAGCTAAACACAAGTCTCTCTTACCGATATGGTCGAAAATCTGGTACGTCTTCGACTCAGGCGTGATGATGTACCACACGCTCTGGTGCCTTGAAGCAAGCGCAATGTCGACCATGCCCCCCCCCCCCGACCTCGAAGGGTTTACCGCCGCAAGCTTGCCGCTGCTGCTCCGTCTTATGCCCTTGCCTCGCCCTCTGCAACCCGTGCCAGCCACCCTCCCGTCCCTCCTGCTGACCTCTCCCCCTCCCTCTTCCTCTTCTTCCTTTTCCTCCTCCTCGTCACCCTCCGAACAGTCCTCTCCCTGAGCAGTGGCGGCGTCGGCGACGGTCGCATCCCATCGAAATGTGCCCGGGTCCGCGAAGCCAGCGTCAATTCCATCCGGTCCGGCGAAAGCAGTGGCGGCGCCCGAACGATGATGACTACTATTGCTCCGTCCTGGCGTCGACCTGCCACTCTCCTTGGAGTACCCGCTCCTCCTTCGCCGAGCGGCGGCGGCGGCGGTACCCCCGTGGTGCAGCGGCCTCATCTCGAGCACTCTGGGCGGTTCATTTGAATCCGACGAACCGCCGACATCGCCGCCGGCTTCAACGGACGCGGACAGAATGCCGCTGCCATCACCGCCGACCCGGTGGGTTCTCCTCCCGCTGCCGGTGGCCGTCGCGACTCCGCTCCGGCCCCTAGCACCGCCACCACTGCTGCCCCCGAGGCCGTGCGAGGAGGAGCGCTGCTCTCGGAACATGGGCAAGGCGCCGGCCCCGGGAGAACCGAGGTTCTCACCTGGCATCTGATGCACTGCGTGAAACATTGCTGCTTCTGCTCTTTCGGCTCTGCACTAAAGAGATTAAAAAAATATTGAACTCACTTTTGAGGGCAACCAAGAGGAATACAAGGTCCCAGCACCTTCCCGGGTGCCCAGAACACGGCGGGGCAGAGTCGAGTCAGCTTCAGGCCGTCGCACAGGTCGCGACACACAGCCTTGCTGTGCAGCGTGGTCAAACACCAAAGGCGACGAGGGGGGCACAGCAAATGTGATTTTTATTCACAATACCCCCACCTTCTTTGCGTTGCAACACCGCATTTGTTGCTTGCCCCGCGCTCGGTCTGCCTCGTGGGTCGGTTCGCTGGCATGGCATGTATGAAGGAAATCGCACAGTGCGCAGCTACGATGAGCATACCTTGCTTCAAGGAGATGATGGAAGGGATAGATCCTTCCGTAGTGAACGTGCTGGCCTTGGTTGGCGGCCTGGTGCTTGTGCGCTCGGCGTTGGGCGTTTTGGCGTCCGTCTTCACGACCTTCCTGCGTCCTGGCAAGGACCTCAAGAAGTACGGCGCGTGGGCTGTAGTCACCGGCGCCACAGGTGAGAGAGATGAGAGAGAGAGAGACAGCGCCCTTTTGCGTACTTTCAAAATGATGGCAGCAGGCAACTGCTGTGGTGTAGAAAACTCTCGCCGACGAGGGCAGCGGGGCAGCAGGAGAAGATACCCATTTTTTTTGCGCACATCATGGTGGCTTCGTGGCTTCGTCGCCTACCTGTTACTCCTAGACTACAGTAGAGGTCCCTATTTAGTGCCGGGGTGTGCACCGAAATGTCACCGGCACTAAACCGGACACCGGCACTATTCGAAGTACAGAACGACTTGGTATTCCAGTGCGTGCGAGCCGAAAACACCGGCACTATAGCGGCAACCGTCACTTTTCAACCGGCACTAAACAGGGGCCTCTACTGTACATGCTGTACTGCTAGAGTTCCCTATCCAACCGCGCTTTGCTGATGATGAGCCAAAAATCCTTCTGCGCACGAGAGTGTTTGCGATGATTTCCTGGAGCCACCAACACTGCGATTTCCTGCGGTATTTTCACACACATCCATTGCATACTTCGAGTATGGTTGCAACGGCGGTTGGGACTACCGGTGGTTCATGTCACATCCATTTTTATTTGAGGACTCGCCGCTAACCCATCGCGCATGCATTGTACATGTGAACAGCCCAAGTCTACATAGCGGAGCACCTAGAACCGTTGAAACTGTGTGTTAGTCCCAACAGCAGTTGTTAACCCCTGCAGCAGTAAATGGGGAAAAACCCCAACACTTGCGGAAATGAATACTGCTGTATTTCTCCACGGTTGTTTGGTTATCTCCACATTACAGTCTGGTCGTCTCCGCACCTTCTGACATGTGTACCTTCCCCAACAGCACGACGCTCGTCTGGCATGGTAAAAGCAAGTCTTGGATTCCAGAATGTACTGCCCGATGTCTTCGTCTGAATCCCCAGGCTTCGGTGCATCGTCCGGGACCTTCCTTTCAAACACCCTCCTCGGTTATCTTTTTTCCACCGCTCTGGTGTCCATCGCCACTCCTGGAGAGAAAGTGCGTCCCTCCTGTCACGGAGCACTCGGCCGGTCTCTCTGGTCCCGATGCCTACGTTTGAATTCTTCTCCTTTTCTTCCCATGACCTTTTACTTTCTCCAGAGTGTCCTCTTACGCAGACGCCTTTCCGTGGTCACAGGCCAAGTACCCCATCAGGGACTTCAAGGAACCAATATCATGGAAAACAAACACCATCGCATACGCCATTCTGTGACGAAACACACAGAAAATATCACCAAAAGGCCCTGGTGACCTACTGTACATACCGGGCATCCATGAGAATTCGTTGCTTTCGCTCGGCACGGAATGCCGAAGTACCGAACGAAACAACACGCACAGAAAAATCATGCATGGATAACCAATCAAGGCAAGAGAGTCGCAACAGAGTCGCACGATTAAATTCTTGTGCCCCTATATACCCCCCGGGTGTGTTCAATGCCGGCGTTCACCGACCATTGCCATCTGCACGTACCTCCAAAATGAATATTGAGGGGGGCTCAAGATCAAGACACAGTGGGTGTTACCTCTATGGTCCACTCGAAAGTACTAACACGAAGAGCAGCAGTCAAATACATCATAACGAGTTATAGCGTGCTCCAGTATTTCCTTTCTGCTACTTAGCACATTAAACCGGGCAACAGTAGCGTCGTGAGTGATCAAAATATTTCGTTCCGCAGCGAGCACCCACGTCGGCATCGGACCTCCAATCGCCGCCGTCAATCCCATTGCCGTGCCGCCTCACTAGACGGGATTGGCAAGGCGATGGCCTTCCAGATGGCCAAGAAGGGGATGAACGTTCTCCTGATCTCTAGAACCGAGGCAAAGCTGGTGGACGCGGAGACGGAGATCAAGGCGGCATGCCCTTCGGTCGAGGTGGCCCACCTCGCCATCGACTTCTCCAACTTCGACGCCACGCTGCAGGTGAGCGACGCGGAGAGGCAGTGTCGGAAAAACTCGTCATACTCACTTTGTTCTGGACGCGTAAACCAACAGCAGCAATCAGCAAAGAGTAGCTCTGAACACCGGCGCCCTACTCGACACTGGTGTCCCGGAACACGCTCTCACTTCCCGTCTCTTTGTGCCGCTTCGTCTTATTGCTTTCGTGTCAGGCCAAGGTTGCTGCTGCCATCGCCGACAAGGACGTGGGTGTTCTGGTGAACAATGTCGGGGTGTCTTACCCCTTCCCGAAGTACTTCGACGAGCTCACGGACGACGAGGTAATTTTCTTACGAAATGTTGCCCTCAGCTGGAGGCGACACGTGACACCGGGCACTTGGGTATTTTCTCAGGCGGGGCCTATCAATGTAACCCCTGCTCATTTTTCTACCCTTGTCGACGTCATTCCAGATGCTCGCAAGTGATCCACGTTATTTTTCTGTGTTTCGTCCCTATCCCGTGCCTGCTACATAATTTCCCTAGCGTGGTTTATTTTAGGCGCTCTCTGAAGCAACGCATGTTCGATCGCCCCAATTATGACTCAACGCCGCGGGTACCGCCCACCCCCCCTCCATGTTCCCGAACGCTACCGCCCGCTCCCCCTCCCCCGATCATCAGATGAAGTCGCTGCTGGAGATGAATGTTAACTCAACAGTTTGGATGACGCGCCTGGCTCTCCCAGGCATGGTTGCGAGGAAGCGCGGCGCCATTGTAAACTTTGGATCCGCCGCGGCTCTCAACCCGTCAGCGCTGCTGGCAGGGTACTCCGGGGCCAAGGGCTTCATCTTGGTGAGATGTCTCACTGCTGTCAGCGTTGTGTTCTTCGTCTCCTCGAACTCCGTACCCCCACACGCCCTTACGTCGCACTCCCTTGTGCCTCATGCTCCAATCTTTTGGCCTCCCTGACTGATCAACGCCAACCGCCCGCACCATCCTGCACACGTTCTCCGCCCCCAGAAAATGACGGAGTCGATGCACGTAGAGATGGCGGCAAAGGGCATCCACGTTCAGTGCCAGGTGCCCCTATTGGTGGCGACGAAACTCGCCAAGATCCGCAGGGCTAGCCTGACCGCCCCGTCCCCTGCAACGTACGCCAAGGCTGGTGTCGGGGCCATCGGGTACGGCGCGGTCGTGTCGCCGTACTGGGCCCACAAGCTGCAGCTCTTCGCGCTGTCGGTGGTTCCCTGGTCAGAGGCCGTGGTGTTCAACATGCACAAAGGTCTCCGGGCGAGGGCCCTCAAGAAGCTGGCGTCCAAGAAGGACTGAATGGCGTGATATTCGGTCGCCCCTTGTGTCACCCTCTTTTTTTTCGCATCCTCGGTTGTGTTAGATGTTGTCGTTTAGTTACGGCTGTGCGTTGTGGCTTGTCACGAGGTTACGGCGAACATTGGGTCAACGCGGAGCGGGGAGTGCGTCGCCCCTCTCATGTTGTTCGACGTGTGAGTGACGCTCTGACAGGAAAAAGTCTGATTTACTTGGGTCGTCGGAGTCCAACACAACTCGTCCATGGCCGGCTTGTCCACGCAATCCTTTTTTCGATCCTGTATCAGGGGTTTTATAGAAGCAACCTAGAACCTACAGCATTTTCGCGGGCAGAGGTTCAGCCTTGGAGGATGTACGCACAGAAGCTATGTGACTACCCACAATTTGTCAGGCTGCTGTGCTGCACAACCATTCCCTGCCAACAGTTGTGTTGAGCACGATGGAAACGTCTCAGCAGTGCAACGTTGTGGACCGTCGCCGGGCGCTGGGCACTTTGAATACAGCACAGCGGGGGTTGTTTTAGCAATAGCGTACAGGAAGAGGGGGGAGGGTGTGTGTGACGGTGCAGCACGACGCAGACCCGACGGAAGTCAGTGCTTTCTGTGTCGAGTATTTCCTCAGCACAACACTTTAGAGTATGGTCATGCCCAAGGCGGTCATGAACTTTATGTGCTTACGCGGGCCGACAGGCTTCCACATCAGGTAACTTCCACGGGCACAGCGATTGCACGCGAACACAGCGAATGCGTACGTATCCTCGTACCCTCGCGCAGGAGGATTTTGGAAGCACACATCGCTGGTCGGTGAAGGGGGTCATATGGTTATTTCGGAAACCATCCAGAGATTAGGAAACCTTTGATCCCGAGTAGCTGAGGGATGGACTCTAAGTCTTGCTCTTTCGCCGTACTTTTATGGCATGCCAAGTAGAGGAATCTAACGTGTGACCCCGGATCAGAGCTCCTCCGAGCTAAGGCTGTGCAGTATTGAGCACCGGCGAGCGGCGAGTGTTAAATGGGAGTACCAAACGTGAACAACGCGTGCTTTGTCCACTTTTGGACATACGTCGTGAGGTGTTCCCGTGTAGATTTAAGACTTTTTTCGCCCAGCCATGCCGAAAATCGCGGATATTGTTGACTGGTACGCACACCCGGCGGAATTCCAATATACTTGACGTTCCTCTGTTGCCAAAAGTTGTGGAGGGAATGGTGTTATAGCAGCATATTGAAACGGAAGCAGTTGTTCAATCGAGGGGGCGATTCTTTCAATGCTGCCCATACCACACACAGGATCGAACATTCTATGCTCCACTAGCCAATCCCATGCTACCAAATACCCCCCCCCCTTCAGTGGTATCAGACATGGACGGTCGCCCCAAGGATACCAGGGAAAGGTATGGCCCCAGTCTGGC